ATATTGCACTGTACTATTATCTCCAAGCAATTATTGATAAAAAAAGTTAGTATTAAAATCGTGATGATAGAAGAACGTCGTTGGAGCGACGCACGTAGGATTCGAACCTATGCACATCAATAGACTTGTTCAGCGCCCACAAATCTGCTTCACCATTCTGTCTCGGGCGTCTCAAGATGGGCTGCGTATTGAAGCAAGGGAGTGACATCGTCTCGGCAAATCATCCACCCAGCCCCAGCTTTATAGGCTATCAGCGTCACTCTGTGTAAGTGGGTTTGAATCAAATGCAGTCAAAAATCATGAACATTTTGAGCAACACATCCCAGGGATCCTCAGAAGTCGAACCTGGTTCCAGGCATTCCGCTGACCGCTTGGCCAGCGCACCTTGCTGGATAAAGACACGACTGGTCTCACCAACACATGTCGACACCAGTTAGTGTCATGTGTTACTCAAGTACCCTTGACGCTTATCTTCGTTCCTTAGACTTTCTAGGAGACGCAATAGCCTTATGGTAGGCCGCCACATGAACCATCGCCAAGGGCAATCAAACCCTTGTTCGGTCGAGACAGAGTAGGTTCGACTCTTACTAGCGTCAGTGACTCCATATCGCTGCGATACGACAAATGCATTTTTAATACTTTCTTACAACCTCATCTCATTTTATCGTGTACGGATACCTCCTTATTCATAGGCCTAAGGGCTGTGGATTTCAAGGCTCAAAAATCTCTAGCGTTAACGAAGCAGGTCACAGCAAAGTAAAATAAAATACAAACATATCCTCGAATAAACGACACGAGCAGGAATTGAATCCGGCCATGGGCCTTGACAATTCGGAAATTGTGTCTATTGCACTAGTTATGAACCTTTGGAAAAGGATGGAAGGATATGCGTGCATTACCATTGCGCTGCGTGCACCCCCCGTTAGTCGTTTTGAGCCTCAAGGATACTGGCTGCGCAGACAGAAATCAAGGGAAAACATTGAAGAACTGACCTGCAGTGGCAATCGGATGCCTGATGCTTGACTATATAGCCTCAGTAGTTACACCAAACCGCTTTTGATACCATGTTCTCCATAGCCAGCACTATTGAACATCCCAAAGGAATGTTGAGTATCTGCGATACTTGCGCAGTCTTTCTCCCATGTAAATTTGACAGCATAGTAGTAGGAGAGCATTGGCAGCGATTTTGAAAGGCAAACAGAAACATTCACTCTTGTTTCTCCCTCAGGTAAAGATAGAATTCGCTCATTCATGCGCCTGAAAGGGGAGTGCCGCTCTCTCCCATGATGCGTAGCACATACGCAGGGACAAAAAAAAAGTCAATTTTCGGAGCACTCAACCAAACACGAGCAGGATTCGAACCTGCTGGAAGCTGAACGTACAATGTAGTACATATTCCCTTTCCATCTCAGCCATCGTGCTGCGCGAGCAGGAATAAAATGTAATATAGCTCCTAGGCTTTCACAAGATACTTACAATGGCAGAAACCTGTGCTTCGTACAACTTCAACGCTCAGACCACGAAAAATAAAACTAAAATAGAAAATCCGAGTGAGAAACGCAATCAGGCATGACACAATCAGGGTTTGAACCTGGGGAACCATCAAGCAAGGGAGGTCCACTCGACTATTGCGTCTTCTGAATCCCAGCTCTACAATGATTCTGAAGCAGAAGTAGTCCCCTCGATACTATCTCCCTGGTTCAGGTTCCAATCCTGCTCGCGTCATATACTTTTATGGTCACAAGATACGCCTCGCTTCGCTACGGCGGTGGTCGTAGTGTAGGATCTAATTGCTCGGTCTCGTTAAGCGCGGGACGGATGTTCGAGAACTTAAGTGGCCAAATACGCTGGAGGCAGAGCTCTTTTGTCATATGGTACTTGAGCCGGATTTGCGGTCCAAGCACCATGGTGCGGGAACGGTAGTGGAAGCGCGCCAAGCCGTTCGACCTGGCGAATGAGTTTTATGATTCTGCCATCGAGAACACAGAGGAAGCGGCCCAGAATTGGCACCAAGAAACAGATTGAGGATCCATAGCATCTGCTCAAAAATCAGAGCAGGTTCCATGATAGAAAAAGTCGCTACTCTAGTGAAAAAGGGCCAAAACAAATAGGCGCAAACAGAGCAAGGGGATAAGCATGTATTAAGAGTGATAGCATTTTTTGTTCTTCTGATACCCTGGAAGCTTCACTCGTTTTCCTGTGAGATTTCGATAAAATGATTAACGCTAAAACTCGTCGCTATATTATAAGAGCTCTTTCGAAACACTCTTGACTCTAGGTCAACGAAATTCAACACTGTCACGCCGTGTGACCCACGTTCCTGGATTCGATCGGGACCCTTTACTTCCGTTGGTAGAGACGCGATAGTCCAAGTATACGACATCATAGCATGTCTCCCCTGTGACGTACTGGCTATCCACCAATTGGTGCAGGTTCGATCCCTGTTGCGTCGCGTATACGCTAGAAATCCGAGGGGTAGTGTTTTTTATCGGTTGAAGCACAAAAGTGCACGAACCGCAAAGGGGAATGGAGTACGAGAAGGGAGGTCAAAGCGATTCAGCTGCGCAAGAGCCTGGGGGTTTCAACTACGTACAACACATCCATCAGAGAAGAACAGCCGTGGCAAACAGGGAACGGCGACGGCAGACGTGACTCTTGGAGGAGGAGGAAGTTCAGAGGAGCGAAAGCGGCATGGGGAAGCGGGTAAACGAAGCGGCGTGCTTGAATGGTCTGCTCGACCTGGAAGTGGGGTTTGAGGAGGCGCCTTCAAGGACCTGCAATGTCCGATCCACAGATACCGCAGGTACATTGTATAAACAAGGAAGTCGTTACGATCAACCTATCAGAGAATAGGATTAGAGGTATATATCTAGGATTCGATGAGATAGACGAGACGCAAAAGGAAGGATATAATGCGCCTGTTCAAACATCCTCTTTTGCCTGCAAACACTCACTCGAACCTTCTCGCGTCTCATCGGCGAAAGGAAGGTGGGATCTTTCGCGGGCGTTACAGTTTGCCATCCAGTCGCATCGTTGTCGCTACGCCTCCCTTCTCCGCCAAGTCTTTGTCCAACTTTCCACCCTTCCTGAAATCGGCGGAGCGACCATCCCAGGAACAGGCACCAGCAATCCAATCCAACAAACAGGTCACCTCCTACTCACATCGTTCATCGCCATCGCCACCACATCCATAATCGTGTTCGTCGACAACACCACCCACACGCGATCTCATCATCCACTCTGTCGTCTATGATGGGAATGAGAGCTGTAGTGCCTGCAGGGGGATGGCTCGTGCCTGTCATTTGCATGAGGACGGCGGCTGTGGCTGTAGTTAGTGATGAGGCGAAGCGGTCGGGAGGAAGTAGGAGAAGAGCGTGGAGATTGCTGTGCTGAAGATGGCGGACAGGACGTGTTCACCAATAAGTGCCTGCCATTGGGAAAGGGGACGATCGAGGATGCCGTTCCCTGTATAATGAATTCAGTCGTTTTCAAGAGGCTAGAGACGGAGAGAGACGCACATAGGAGGCGATCAGGGGAGCGACACCCTTGTCGGCAAAGTAGGAGCTTCGGGTGAATATGGTCCGAAAAATGGCGAGTCCACCAAAGAATCCAATAAGGATCCAGATCCAGATGATATAGTTTGGCTGGGGAGGTGCAAGAGACGTCCTGTAGCTGAACCATCAACTGAACCAGGTTGGGAAACGTGGCAAGGCGTTGGGAGTTGTGTCGCCGGCATTTTTCTATCCCGTGTCAGAGACCTATAAGGATGAGAGGTATTGAAAGGGCAGAGGGCGATTCGTGAACCCAGACTGAGAGATGGTGGAGGTCAAGAACACAGCTGTAATTTATAACCGCGGTATCGAAGCCAATGGCTTGATGCGCGATCGTCCACCCTTATTTGGTACAGACTTGCTTTGGCTCCAGCTTTTCCGGTCGCCAGCGTTTCTGGACATCCCCAAAGCACCTTGCTATCTGCGATAGGTATGTAGCAAACTTTAATTTCGCAGTGTATTGGATCAATCGAGAATTCTGTTGGTGACGTCGAAGGCGGTATGGGAATGGGATTTTCTAAGTCACCACCAAATCGCCCAGCCAAACATGCCAGTGCGGTTAAAAATGAAGATTTCGTATTTTTCAATACACACCAGCGGGATTCAAATTGCTTCACCAGAGCAAGTGTACAGGCTGTAGACTGTCTAGCTCAGCCACTCGCTAGGTCCTTGGGATGTTTCTGGTGTTACGCGACCTGGGTGCTATCACACACGAGGAGATTAAAAGAAAGAATCGATCCCCAACCAGAAAGGACACAGTAATATGCGCTCACAAAAAGCCGGCGACGAGACAAGCTCCTGATATTTCAAGGTACTACAGCAAAGTCAATCCATAGCACCTCCGAGGCACTATAGTGCAGTCGCATGTGAACGGCACAGCTCACGTCATCGTGCGTGGAGCGCAGGTTCGAATCCTGCACATGCACCTATACGAATATGAACCCCCGTTTTATTTAGTCATCTCTTTCCTGTCACCCCCCTTGGAAATCTTTGCACAGATGTGGTTTCATGAGCAAGACACAATAGTCCAAGAGGATGCGATAGAGCCGCAGGTCTCCCACCATGATGTAACTGACTATTTACCCATTGCCAATTGGTGCAGGTTCGATCCCTGTCGTGTCGCATGTACTCTAGCCAATCGAACTCATCAAGGCGGTTATCTTTTTTGTTTTCGATCAAAGCTTAAGGGCGTACGAAATTCAAATGGTAACGCGTTATAACCTGTATGGTTTATGCCCGAGCGCGTCCTATAGCGCTGGCCCATAATCCCTTGACTTGAGTACAGTCAATTTCTGGCAACATTGAGAACCACTAACTTGACTCACACAGGGCAAAGATCCTCGATTTTACGATAGCCGAAAGCCCCTTCTATCTGCCTGCCGCATGTCTCGCCATGCAGCATGGGTTCAAGTTCCCGCTCCGTCTATCCTAATAGCCTGGCCAAAAGAACGCACAATGGACTATTGGTAAGGCGCCAGATGTCTTGTACAGCTAAAGGGGTAAAACAAATTTGACCTTGGGACGTAGGTTCGAGTCCTACTCGTGTGAATGCCATTCGACTTTGAATGTTTTTTAGGGAATTTCTTGACCTCCTGGAATATTTAGCGTCACAATGGCGAGGATACTGTACGTATAGTCTTGCGTTGTCACCCATGTAATGCATGTCAAAGGATTTCAATTTGAAATAGCAACACGTTACTCAAGCTCTGTTGGAAAACATGAGAAGCGCTGTTAGTAGCCCACCCCCATTTTGTACAGATGTAGCATTGACGCCACGTTCTCCATCGCAAGCGTTGCTTGACATCCCGAAGGAACCTTCCCAAATGAGATACCTCTGTAGCGAACCTCACTGTTGCAGCTCATTGCATCAGCTGAGAATCCCCTGGATGATACCAAAGGCGAATGGGAATGTCATTTCCTAATAATGCTTGGCAGTTTATCTCACAAGTACCCGGATATGAAACGAGATAGGTGAAAAGACCTCCAGTTCATTCATTCAAATATTCATGCTTGACAGAGGGGTGCCATTCTGTCCCGTTCCGCACATAGAGGTCATGAAAAGACTGTAAAAACAAATGTGGGGAGCCCTGCATAGACACAATCGGGAATCGAACCCGCGAAACAACCAACGCTGGTGTCTGGATAGGCTGGGTATTCAACTCGTCCATTATGCCCATGTAGAGCTCTTGTAGTGGTTGAGTGAAGGTGATATCTAATCGGTGATTATGGAGCACTAAGCGACGACGAAAAGACTGTTCAGCAAGGAAATCCGTGTTGTGTGTATTACAACACGCCAAAGAAAAATCATGACGGTCAGGATAGACATACCCCATGATAGGAAATGCAAGTCTGGGGCGTGCGTGTGCATCCGCGACTCGAGAGATGGCAGGCTGAAGTGTCTCCAAATTTTGAACTGTTGGTGATACACACTTGTTCGACACACCAATCTCGATACTTCCGAACTTCTCAGGAGACGCGATGGCGCCAGCAGACAGATGGCCAAAGGCCTCAAACTCGTCGAGACAATGTAGGCTCGACACCTTCTGGCATCATTCAGTTGAGGATGGATGTTTGGTACCTTGACGACCCTGTCCCTGCACGTGGACTCCTGCATGACACGAAATACATCACGAAAAGAAAAAGAACAGGTTGCTGCCACATGCACGATACGAGCAGATTCGGATGGCATACTACAGTACAGCGCATGGTCCAAAAGATACGCCACACGATCTCGCAATTAGTCCACTTGGCGCAGGTTCGAACCCTTCTTGTGCCATATAAAAGTAGCTGCTTTGCTGTTTTGACTCTTTTTCAACATTCCCTGCCCCGCCCTCTCTCGTCCTTTTCTCTAGAGTAGAGGAGATGGGGAGCAGAACCGAGCACATAACACAAAGCAAGAAAGACTCGGGCAGCGAAGGAGGCATCTGAATAGGGCATGAGATTGGGAGAGAAAGGGCCCTCGTAGTCTTCGGTGCAAAGAGGCCAGCCAGGTGAGGGTAGAGATAACCGTTTCACCAGAAAAAGTCGAGTATAGTATGAGGATGGGGTCCTCGGCTTTGGAGAAATTAACTTGCGCCGCTGAACGAATCAGTTTGAGACGTAGCGACAGGAGAGTAGGAGCAAGTCACGATAGTCCAAGCCGAAGGCGGCACGAAAGGACAGGCCGGTTCCCACATGACGTCCGCCGAATGTTGCAGGTTCGAATCCTGCCGTGGCGGATATTGGCTATTACTAAGGTACTTTTGTTGCTGATCAAAGCGCCAAGGGGATGAAGCACACGCAGAGGCGAAGGAGACGCGATGATGAATATCGGAGTGGAACCTCCCAGCAAGTCCTGAGCGAGTTTAGCTAGGTGGGGTACACCCATCGTAGAAGAAAAACGGTCAGGAAGTGGAAGGGGCAACGGCGGACGTGTATTTTAAAGAGGGGAGAGGGGCGAGGACAGAATGGGGACGCAGGTATACTACCGTTGAATGGCCTGCTCGAGCGAAAGCTGGAGTGGGAGAAGAAATGCTGTACGACTCCCAACAGCCGAGAGCATGGCTCCGCAAATAGAGGAGATACGTTATGTATTCGATAAAGACACTATCGTTGACCTATTGGATGGTATTCGAGGTGTATATCTAAGCCTCGATGAGAAATCGCAATACGTGTAAGCCAAGAACGCGACGCACCTACTTATTCAAACTTGCTCCTTTGCCTTTGAATCTCCTGCCTCGCCTCTCATCGACGATAGCAATGTTGGATCCCTTGCAGGCGTCACCGCCGACTCTCCTGTCCCCATCGTCGTCGCTACGCCTCCCTTCTCCGTGGAATCCGTCTCCGACTTTGAATCCTCTTCCCTTCCTGATGTTGGCCAAGCGAGAGTCCCAGGGACAGGCGCCGGCGGACCAATCCACCAAACCGGCCACCTCCTGCTCACGTTGTTCGTCCCCATAGCCGCAACACCCATAACGGTGCTCGTCAAAAGCACAACCCATACATACTCCCATCCCAACGCCCTTACTAAGGAGGAAGAGTTTCGAGATGGCAGTGCCGAGGATGGCGGAGAGGACATGATCACCTATGAGGGCGCGTGGGTGGGCGAGGTGGCCGTCGAGGACACTGTAGATTAATACCGCTGAAGCTCCCTGTATAGAAACTTCAGTCATGGTCTGCGAGCAGAGAAAGAGAGACGGACGCACGTAAGAAGGGATGAGAGGCGGAACTCCTTTGTCGACAAGATAGGAGCTTCGGGTGAACATGATCTGCACAACGGCAAGTCCAAAGGAACCTATGAACTCCAAAGCCAGAGGATATAGTTTGGCTGAGGAGGTACAGGGGACGCTCTGTGGCCGAGCCATCAACTGAGCCAGGGTGAAAGACGCAACAAGGCGTTTTGGGTTGGCTGTGCCGTTGGCATTCTTCTATGTCGGTTCTAGTTCACCTAGTCTGAGAGATGCAAGAAGGACAGACATAGATCCATGGAATCTAGATTGAGAGGTGGTGGAGGTTAAGAACATGGTTGCAGTTTGTAACCACTTTATGGGAGAATTTGGTTCGTAATGGCGATTTCATGTTTGATGGATCAACCGCCCCTATTTGTACCACGCCACGTTCACTCGTGGCCAGCGTTGCTTGACATCCCCAAGGAAGTTAGGAACCTCGCTATCTGCAATAGGTGTGTAGCAAATCTTACATTGGCAAATAACTGGATGAACCGAGAACTCCGTCGGCGATATCGATGCCACCATTTGGCGAGTTATCCGTCATACCTTTAGCCTCCAATGTGCGAAAAGATCATGACACACTGGCCCAAGAACCAAAGCACCTCAGATATTGAGCATGCTTCTGTTTCTTGATGCGAGTGCGAACCCCAAGTGTCAATGTCCCCATAGCTCAACGCAAAAATATTATTTTGATCCTGGTCTGCATGCGACAGTGGCTTGGAGAGTAGGGAGGATATCCTTGAAAATTTCTCGTCTTTATTTGAATGTCGTTCTTATGAGCCATGCCACACCCTTGATGCTGAACTTTCCACTGAGAAGGTGGGTTCGACTCCTACTCGCGTCACTCCTCCTCGGTTGCTCCAGTGCGGATGAAGAAAGCAGGCCACAGCAACAAAATGGAAATCTATTCCAAGTAAGCGACACTCGTATTCTAACGATACATCGGTCATACAAAGTCTTTTTTTTCTAGCGAGGGACCAGGGGCGAACGATGCCTCGAGGAAAACTCGAGGCCTACCCAAGTGACTTCATCCGAATTGTGAGTCCCTATCTATCTGGGATGCCACGCCACTTATCACCTCGTGCCTTGTATCACCTCACCATATCTCACCCGCCTACTCCCTTTAAAACGCGAGTCTCATTGGGAGCTGGTTGGAGCAAGAAGAGGAGTTACCGAGACACATAGGTAAGCAAAGGTGAAACTGTCTTGATCAGGGTAACTCACAGCGTCTACAAGGCACCATAGTACAAGAGATACGCATAACGGCATGTCGCTTGGCGCAAGTTCGACCCCTGCATGTGCCATAGGGCAAAAGATAGTTTCACTTTTTTGCCTCGTTTTCAGCTTTTCCTGCCTTGCCTCTTTCGTTTTTACAATAGAGAATATTGGGAGCCAAAGCGAGCGCATAAGAGGCGGTCCTGGAATACCTGAGACGGGATGAAGACCCGAATAGAACATGAAATGGGGAGGGAAGAACTCTCGCCCAAGCAGAGGCCAGCCGAGCCAGAAGGGAGATGAATGGAGCATATAACAACGCTACCAAAGGCAGACGACATCCCAGTGCAGATGTGGTCCTCGTCGTTTACGGATTCGCCTGGTTATGAGAACTGTAGCCTCTGGAGCAAAGATGCGTTTGAACCAGCAGTGCGAAAGTGAGAGCGAGACACGGTAGTCCAACTAGAGGATACAACAGACTAGTAAGTACGCCGCCATGACGTACTAAGCCGACCACCGATTGGTGTGGGTTCGATTCCTGTCCTGTTGTATACGATGGTCAATTCCCAGGTTTTTGTTGATCGAAGCATAAAGAGGATGTGAACCAAATGCACGACAAACGAGGGATGAGGGACGACGACGTGAATATCGGTGCTGTGCCTCCCAGAAAGTTTCTCGCGGCTTTAGCTAGGTGGAACACGCCCATCGGGGACGCATATTGAATATTGAATCACAGAGAGAAAGCGGCGACGGCAGACGCGAGGTTTGGAGCTGTAGGAGGATTGGAGGAGCGAGAGTGGCACAGTCACGCGTTTATCTGGGTTACCACCGTCGAATGGTCTGTTCGAGCTGGAGGTGCAGTTCAAGAAGACGTTTTAAAGGACATGTGTGTCCGAGAGCATGGATCCACAGGTAGAACAGGGACGTCGCTTGTTCAAAAAAGTTGTTGCCATTAACATATTGGAAGGTTTTAGAGGTATATATCTGGAACATAATTAGATAAAACGAAATGCGCATCGATGAACACAATGCACATGATCAAACTTCCTGCTTCCCCTCTGCATGTCCTTCGTGGTGCCTTATCCAAGGCTATGACGGCAGAACCACCACGCACATCGGGCCCTC